CGCCTATAATTTTCGGTGATATATTTTGTGTTTTTTTTTCTAGTCGATCTGAAGGCCACAGCTATAAGCCGAATATCACAACACAATCCACGGTGCAGGGAATATGGACAAGTATATTAGAAGGACTGTATTGATTATTAGTAATATTCGTAAAATATGTCAGGGTAAGAAGAGGTGCTGTTGGCCTCTTATCGGGAAAGAGGGTGAAACTATCGCGAAATATTGCCCAGGCTTGGAAGAAAACTTCGCAGAAAGTTAGAATTCCGTGGTAATTGTGTAGGGTATCGTATAATCGGCCCCGTCTGACTATACTACTTCGTTCACTGGTTTTCATTTGTAGATCATAATAACAACAAATTCACGATGCTGATTTCAATTTCGTAATGTGAATTCAACATAATAATATAGAATTCATATCTGCACTAATCTTCGTTGACCAGTTCCTCTTTCTGCGGGTTAAACTTTTTATTATGTTCTGGTCATCATTGTGGCCTCTAGAGCGACTAGAGAAAAACAAACAAAAAATAAGGTATATTTCGACATCATTAAAAATTTAATGACGATTGGCCTATAACTTTAATTTAATTAAAAGATATAATGAACAGACGATACAACCAGGCATTCGGAATACTAAAAAGTGTAGTGTATAAACCATCACGCTTATAGTACTCCTCAAAATTATAATAATAAAAAAATGTACACTTATAAATGTGACTTCAGAATAACGTGACTTAGGTTTGTGCTTGAAATATATTTTTGAAATATATTAAATCCAATCCATAATAAAGATGGTCCCCGATAAAATAGTCTTTAAAAATCTAAGCTTATGGAAGGTATTTGTAAAATTAAAAAAAAATTGATCCTAGCAAATAATATTCTTTGTAATTTGCATTAGACCTTGAAAAAATAAAACAAAGTGTTATTATATACCTTATATATATATATATATTGCTTGGAGATGGGGCCCTGTGGTCCAAACTTTTTGGTACCTTACACACCAAGTGTCAAACTTTATGAACAATTTGTTAATCCAATATCAAGATTATCGAATGTCAGAATTATGTGCAAAGTTAGGATGAAATTGGATATACCGTTTGTAGAAAATATACCGACAGCCGCAGCTCGCCTGTATAATAAATTAAGACACGACACGGTCCTCCCGACCGTACAGTTTGAGTGGTTGTAAGTCACTAATTTTATTTTAAAATATTTATCCTTAGGTTCTACATAAACAACTCTTGCTTAGCCTAATCTCAAACACAAAATACTTATCAGTAAACTATTTGTTCTAATAATAGAAATTGATCTGTGGAGAGTTTTCCCATCGTGTGCGTCATAAAATCTCACCACCAACAACAACAGTCTTATCAACGCTGCATGTGGGATTTTAGACTCTTATCTTAAAACACTCCAACGATCAAATCTTCCGTAATACAAAATTCTGTTCAAAGTATTTTGAACACCGTTCGTACCATATCAGATTTACAAGTTTTCAGAATGTTTTAATCCTTTGTGGCGGAGGTACCAGAAGGAGTAGTCCAATAAGCCCCACCTCCCAACATTATACAGGCATGGGTTAAATATTACGTTGTACAAAGTTTGGTTTGAATCGGATGCTATGTACGCATGTTAATATAAAATTTATTTTCAATTTAATTTTCAACGTTTTTTGTTAACTCCGTCCCAGGGGTCCCATTTCTCAATTTGAAAAAAATATTACGATGTTCATATTTGGCATCAAATCGGGCGTAGGATTTATAAATGTTCCATTTTTTAAACTATTGTGAGGGAGGTGCCCGAAGGAGTGTACCAATGGTTACCATCTTTGGATTCGATCTAGGCTATGTGATAAATATGGATAAAATTGGATATTCTGTTCGCTTCATATGAGAATTTAAAAGTTTCAAATATATTAAACATAAAATTTAGTTTGAATCGAATGACCATTGACCATTTTGTGGTGGAGGTACCAGAAAGAGTGGACCGTTTAGCCCCATCTTCGAATTTTATTTGAGTTCGAAAGAAATATTACATAGGGAAAATTTGTATCAAATCGGACATACTATTAGCCTAATATTAGCTTTATAAATATTGAACATTTTGACCCTCTGTGGAGTCAACTAATTCTCACCTTCCAACAATATACAGGCTTCGTAAAAATACTCCACTGGCATGATATTACAAAATGAAGTTTCGCCGAAATTTTGAACATTTTGAGTGGGAGGACCCATATTCCCAATCTAAGAATTTGATTTAAGTTTAGATTTGGATTATATATTACGATGTGCAAAGTTTGAATGAAATCAGTTACACCAGCCAGATACACAGGCAGGCAGGCGGACATTTGTAAATCGATTCTAAATGGTCTAAAAGAGATATGACCCAAAGAAACATGGGGTCTAAAACCAAAACCAATATGGGATGGGACCTTTGAGAAATATAATATTATAAATTGCTGAAAAAATATTATTTAAAGAATTCCCACTTCGAATGGTTATTTCAAATGCAATTTAAATAACCCATTTTTTGGATGGTTATTAAATAATTAAAAAGAAGAAATAATTAAGAAGTAAGGAAAGTTGTAAAGTCGGACTGGGCCGACAATATAATACCCTTCACCACTTTGGGTATATTCTACATATATCTCCTAACAGGCTGTACCAAACTACGTGCAAATCGAAGGATATATAGGGACTTTGGTACATCATTTACATTAAATCGGTCGAACATATATATGGAACCTATATCTAAATCTAAACCGATTTTCAACAAATTTTACACACATCATTCTAGACCTAATTCATTACGCTATGCTAAATTTCGTGCAAATCGAAAGATATGTAGGGACTTTTGTGCATCATTTACCGTAAATCGGACGAAAATATATATGGGACCGATTTTCATGAAGCTTAGCACACATCATTTTAGACTTAATTGTTAATTCGAACATATATGGAACCTATATCTAAATCTGAACCGACTTTCACCAAATTGTACACACATCATTCTAGACCTAATTCATTACGCTGTGCCATATTTCGTGTAAATCGAAAAATATATATGGACTTTTGTGCACCATTTACCGTAAATCGGACGAAAATATATATGGGAGCTATATCTAAATCTGAACAGATTTTCTCGAAACTTGGCACGCACCATTCTGGACCAAATTCAGTACTTTATGCCAAATTTCGTGCAAATAGAAAGATATATAGAGACTTTGATGCCGCATTTACCATAAATCGGAAGAAAATATATATGGGAGCTATATCCAAATCTGAACCGATTTTCTTGAATTTCAATAGGGTTCGTCCTTGGGCCAAATAAGTGAGCTGTGCCAAATTTCATCCAATTCGGATTATAAATGCGACCTGTACTTTGTTTACAATTTAACACCAACAGACGGACGGATGGACATGCATAAATCGACTCAGAAAGTGATTCTATGCATATTTTCAAAAAGTACTATTGGTCTATCACGTTTCCTTTTGCCTGTTACAAACATATGCACAAAGACATAATACCCTGTATCCAGTTTGGTGAAGGGTATAAAAATCCACGCCTTTATTGATATATTCAAAAAATATTTTTTAAAAAATCCCCGTCTTTGTTGGTACCTCAAAAAATATTTTAAACAAATCCATGCTTTTGTTGGTTCATCAAAAAATATTTTTAAAAACTCCACGCCTTGTATAAACCTTAAAAAATAGTTTTAAAAAATCTATCAGAGAACCTTGAAAAAAGATTTTTAAAAAATCCTTGAAAAAAGATTTTTAAAAAAATCCAACCCCTGGGAATTTTTCAAAACTTATCTTTCTGATTTTATTGAAAAATTTTAAATAAACACCTAACGTTGTTAAATAAATTTTGCAACAAATTTCCATATGTTTTCTTTTGAATAATAACAACAAAAATTTTCAAAAGAGAAATATTAAAATCAAAATTTCTCACAATGGAGAAAAAAACAACAACAGCACGTTTCCCAAAAACCCGAAAAAAAAAAAACAAAAGGACCAACAAAGTTTATTTTAAAAAGATAAACACATGGTGACATCAAAAAGTTTTTTTTTTTTTTTTTAAAAAAACAATTTTGAAAAAACAACAAAAGGGGGCACACAAAAGAGAAAACTATTACAACAACTAGTGACACGCACCAAATAAAAAAGGATACACCAGAAAATTATAAGCCACAATGTGAGGTAAGGGGTTTGATGAGAGAGGTGAGGTGAGGGATGAGGGGAGAGGAAGACAAAATTATTGAGGGACCTCTTTAAAAATTTTATCAACGGTTAGAGGTGAACAAAAATGGGCAAGACGGAAATTCCAATATAAACAAAACAACCGAAAAGGCACAAGGTCCTTTAAAGTGGTGTGAAGTGAAAACACACACACACACTGTGGTGTGTCACAGTGCTAGCAAAACATTACCTTTTTGTTGTTAAGCCAAGACCCTGGGTGTTAAACTTAACAAATACCGGATAATTGTGCACACACTTCACCCCTTCGAAGGGTGTGGAAATTGTGTGGCACGCGTCATTGATTAGCTGGCCGGCGGACAAGCTACGGCTGTTATTTGAAGTGTATGGGGGTTTTGGTTAAGCGGTCCATATCATCACTTTTGGTCCTCACAGGAACAACAAAAACAATAACAACAATATGTCAATTGTCACTAATTCTTGGACGGAGGGAGAAAATATGTTTCTCCTGTTGCTGCTGCCGGGTTGGTTTGGCTTGTTTTGACAAGTGTCAAGGATGAATTTTGAATGTTTCAAAAATAAAATGGTTTTACGTGCCCAGCGTAATGCCAGGGATTAGTAAAATAAATGGCATAGGAATTGTCAATAAACATCCTTAACATATCCGTCCAAAGAGGGAAAGGAGTTCTTCAACTGGTTGCAAACTTGTTTTTTTTTTAGGCTACAACAAGTTTTGAGGAATTCAGACTGTGTCCTTCCGAAATGTAATTTTTCTAACATTTGCTTTTCTGTTTTATTTTTCAGGGGACCGCCTTTTGGATATACCCTGTAAGGTGTGCGGTGATCGCAGTTCCGGCAAACATTATGGCATATACAGTTGTGATGGTAAGTAACCCAAACAAGTCTCTGAAAAAATTATTTAAAAACTCCAGGCCTTATAGCGACCCCCTAAAAAATTATTAAAAAACTCCAGGCCTTATAGCGACCCCCTAAAAAATTATTAAAAAACTCCAGGCCTTATAGCGACCCCCTAAAAAATTATTAAAAAAACTCCAGGCCTCATAAAATATTAAAAAACTGCAGGCCTTATGGCGACCCCCTAAAAAATGTTAAAAAACTCCAGGCCTTATAGCGACCCCTTAAAAATTATTAAAAAACTCCAGGCATTATAGCGTCCCCTAAAAAATTAAAAAACTCTAGGCCTTATATCGACCCCCTAAAAAATTATTAAAAAACTCCAGGCCTTATAGCGACCCCCTAAAAAATTATTAAAAAACTCCAGGCCTCATAGCAACCACCTAAAAAATTATTAAAAAACTCCAGTCCTCATAGTGACCCCCTAAAAAATATTAAAAAACTCCAGGCCTTATAGCGACCCCCTAAAAAATTATTAAAAAAACTCCAGGCCTCATAGCGACCCGCTAAAAAAATATTAAAAAACTCCAGGCCTTATAGAGACCCTCTAAAAAAGTATTTAAAAACTCCAGGCCTCATAGCGACCCCCTAACAAATTATTAAAAAACTCCAGGCCTTATAGCGACCCCCTAAAAAATTATTAAAAAACTCCAGGCCTTATAGCGACCCCCTAAAATATTATTAAAAAACTCCAGGCCTTATAGCGACCCCCTAAAAAATTATTAAAAAACTCCAGGCCTTATACCGACCCCCTAAAATATTATTAAAAAACTCCAAGCCTTATAGCGACCCCCTAAAAAATTATTATAAAACCCCAGGCCTCATAGCGACCCCCTAAAAAAATATTAAAAAACTCGAGGCCTTATAGCGACCCCCTAAAAAATTATTAAAAAACTCCAGGCCTCATAGCAACCACCTAAAAAATTATTAAAAAACTCCAGTCCTCATAGCGACCCCCTAAAAAAATATTAAAAAACTCGAGGCCTTATAGCGACCCCCTAAAAAATTATTAAAAAAACTCCAGGCCTCATAGCGACCCGCTAAAAAAATATTAAAAAACTCCAGGCCTTATAGAGACCCTCTAAAAAAGTATTTAAAAACTCCAGGCCTCATAGCGACCCCCTAACAAATTATTAAAAAACTCCAGGCCTTATAGCGACCCCCTAAAAAATTATTAAAAAACTCCAGGCCTTATAGCGACCCCCTAAAATATTATTAAAAAACTCCAGGCCTTATAGCGACCCCCTAAAAAATTATTAAAAAACTCCAGGCCTTATACCGACCCCCTAAAATATTATTAAAAAACTCCAAGCTTTATAGCGACCCCCTAAAAAATTATTAAAAAACTCCAGGCCTCATAGCGACACCCTAAAAAAATATTAAAAAACTCGAGGCCTTATAGCGACCCCCTAAAAAATTATTAAAAAACTCCAGGCCTTATAGCGCCCCCTAAAAAAATTATTTAAAAAATCCACGCCTTATAGAGGACCCCTAAAAAATTATTTAAAAAATCCACGCCTTATAGAGGACCCCCTAAAAATTATTAAAAAACTCCAGGCCTTATAGCGACCCCTAAAAAAATTTTTTAAAAAATCCGCGCCTTTTAGAGACCCCCTAAAAAATTATTTAATAAATTCCACGCCTAATATCACTTACTTAGCTGGCTTGTGACAGAACTTTCGTTCCATAAGCCGAGCTCAGAAAAGATTTCCAGGAGCGTCGGTCTTTTGCACAATTTTTCCAATTTGAAATACCATTTTCGGCAATGTTGTCTTCGACTTGATCTTTCCATCGTATTCGTGGCCTTCCCCTTCTGCGTGAACCATCAGTCGGTTCGCTTTTATATACCTGCTGGGCTGGGGCATCTTCATCCATTCTCACAACATGTCGCTGCAGCTCAATACGTCTAACAATGTCGATGACCGAGAATAGCTGGTACAACTCATAGTTCAGTTGACGGCGTAGATCTTTCGAAGAATTTTTCTTTCAAACACCCCAAGAGCTGCCTCATCTGCTTGCACAAGTACCCATGCTTCAGATCCATATAACAGCACGGGTAGTATCGGCGTCTTGTAAAGTGTGAGTTTGGTCTGACGGGATGTGGCCTTGTTTTTAAACTGCTTACTTAGACCATAGTAGCATCTGTTGGCCATCACAATCTTTCTCGAAATTTCAAAACTGATGTCATTCGTTTTATTTAATGCTTTATCACACCTCGAAGCTGTAGTTCTCAAGTTGGTCCGAGTCTACTGGAGGTCTTGCGCGTTGATACCATCAGCTTGGTCTTCTCACCGTTTACTGCCAGACCCACTTTGGCAGACTCTTTCTCAATTTGTTCAAAGGTGGCTTTTACCGCTCGCAATCTTCGACCCATTATCGTCAACATTAGGGGGTGTTTGGTTTTCTTTTTCTTTGATTTTTCATAGTAGGTTGGGTTTTCCGAGAGCGGGCAACTAACCCGACGCCTCAACCCATGTTTTATAGTTCTTATGGGTGAACTTGCGGCACATATTAGCTCACTATTTCATCGGGTGATGAAAGTAGCTCCCCAGATGGCACCACGAGGAGGTCAGTGTCCACAATTGAGATGAAAGAGGGACCAAGATAAGCCTGGACTTAGCCATGTTAAAGCCAATCAGAGCCGTTTCTTGGTATCTTTCATCTCCTACGCCAACCCACGCTTAATATAAACCTCTGAAAAAAATTATTTAAAAAAATCCACGCTCTCTTCTGGGGAAAATTATTTAAAGAATCCACGCCTGTCTATGGCCTCTGAAAAAAATTATTTAAAAAATCCACGCCTGTCTATGGCCTCTGAAAAAATTTTTTTAAAAAAATCCACGCCTGTCTATGGCCTCTGAAAAAAATTATTTAAAAAAATCCACGCCTGTCTATGGCCTCTGAAAAAATTTTTTTAAAAAAATCCACGCCTGTCTATGGCCTCTGAAAAAAATTATTTAAAACCAGTAAGGAAAGCAGTAAAGTCGGACGGGGCCGACTATATGATACCCTTCACCACTTTGGGTATATTCAACAGATGAATCATAACAGACGTCGAATTTTTGAAGGACCATTAACATGAAAATGGATCCATAAACATGCCATTCTGTAACCTACACTAAAGTTTTCATTTGGTCAGATATAGGGTTGCTTCTTACAAAGGGACAAAATTATATAAAGCAATGTAAAGGAAATGTATTATAGTAACTACAGTTCATTGTACCAATTGTGTGGAAATCAGACAAACTTTGGGTCTTTAGTGCACAATTTACACACACTCGGAAGAAAAAATATATAGGAGCTATATCTAAATCTGAACCGATTTTCACGAAACTTAACACACATAATTCTAGACCTTATTCATTACGCAATACCAAATTTCGTGCAAATCGAAATATATATAGGGACTTTGGTGCAACATTTACATTAAATCGGACAAAATTATATATGGGAGCTATATCTACATCTGGGCCGATTTTCAGTAAACTTAACACACATCATTCTAGACGTAATTCATTACGATATGCCAAATTTCGTGCAAATCGAAGGATATATAGGGACTTTGGCGCACCATTTACATAAAATCGGACGAAACTATATATGGGAGCTATATCTAAATCTGGACCGATTTTCTCAAAACTTGGCAGACATCACTCTAGGCTCAACTCAGTACGTTATGCCGAATTTCGTGCAAATCGAAATATATATATAGGGATTTTGGTGCACCATTTACATGAAATCGGACGAAACTATATATGGGAGCTATATCTAAATCTGGACCGATTTTCTCGAAACTTCGTAGACATCATTCTAGACTCAATTCAGTACGTTATGCCCAATTTCGTGCAAATCGAAAGATATATAGCGACTTTGGTGCACCATTTACATGAAATCGGACGAAACTATATATGGGAGCTATATCTAAATCTGGACCGATTTTCACGAAACTTGGCAGACATCATTCTAGACCTAAATGATTAGGCTGTACCAAATTTCGTGCAAATCGAAAGATATATAGGGACCGTTTACATTAAATCGGTTAAATATATATATGGGAGCTATATCTAAATCTGAACCGATTTTTCCCAATTTCAATAGGGTTCGTCCTTGGGCCAAACAAATGAGCTGTGCCAAATTTCATCCAATTCGGATCATAAATGCGACCTGTACTTTGCTCACAAAAATACATGGACAGACAGACAGACGGACGGACATGCATAAATCGACTTAGAAAGTGATTCTATGCATATTCTCAAAAGGAACCATGTGTCTATCTCGTTTCCTTTTGCCTGTTACAAACATATGCACAAAGACATAATACCCTGTACCACAGTGTGGTGAAGGGTATAAAAATCCACGCCTGTCTATGGCCTCTGAAAAAATTATTTAAAGAATCCACGCCTGTCTATGGCCTCTGAAAAAATTATTTAAAGAATCCACGCCTGTCTATGGCCTCTGAAAAAATTATTTAAAAAAATCCACGCCCGTCTATGACCCCTGAAAAATTTATTTAAAAAATAGACGTCTAATTTCTGAATTAAATTATTATTTTTCTCCCTTTTCCAGGTTGCTCCGGCTTCTTCAAACGTAGCATCCATCGCAATCGTATTTACACCTGTAAGGCAACGGGTGACATGAAAGGCCGCTGTCCTGTCGACAAAACCCATCGTAACCAGTGTCGAGCCTGCCGTCTGAATAAATGTTTTCAATCGGCCATGAATAAAGATGGTAAGTAGAAAAAAATTCCCCCTTCCCAAACGAAAGAAAAAATTAACTTCTAATTTAGAGAAGTGATTCCGGGCGGTCTTAAAATAACAACAAGAAGCCCGTAAGGAATTGTCATCCTCCCACAGCTTGTTATCCTTGTATTATGTTAAGAAAATAAAATTAATTATGCAAAATGCGATTTATAATCAGTTAAGGAGAAATTATATTGCAGGGTTTAAGTGTCAGAGTGTGTGTGGGTGAGTGTAAGGAGAAAGTTCTACCTTGGTAGCAGGATGTTGCTCATTAAAAATGTAAACGTTTTTGCTCCGGCATACCACAAGGATAATGATAATATCCTTTGTAGAACTCGGATATTTTTGGTATTTATTTGTTTTCTGGTCTGAAGGGAGTTAGTTGGAGTTCGGAAGGTGTTGCTGAGGCCATAGCTTAGGGTTATTTTTATAAAGGGAATTTTTACTTCTATAAACAAAGGATAATAAAAGTAATCCTTTCAGGATATCCCACTATGGTATATATATAGGGAAATATGGGTTTTATTGCAGCCCTCTGAGAAAAAAATTGATTTCGAGATTTTATTAAATTTTCCCCTATCCAAAATAATTCAATTTAACCTCACATTTTAAGTGGCCACACATCTACCTCCCATATTATGTATCTGTGTATGTACGTAGCTTTAAAGCTTTTAAGCCAATATTAAATGTAGCATAAAGACACAAAAGCGATTAAGTCCATTCGCATGGACCAAACGAAGTTAGCCTCAAACGTGCTCCAATAGGGGAGGTTGGGGGAAAAATATCCTACCCTCTACAAATAAACAAATACATATTTAGATATACGAATAAAAACACAGAAAACCCAAAAAATTATCTAAACTAAAACATCGATAACAAAGGGAGAGGGAGAGAAAGAAAAATAACAGACTAAAATACACTGGAGGATATTTAAGTAAAATATTTTTTCAAGGGTGGCATAGGTGATGATAGATACCAAGCAACGGCTCGGATTGGCTTTAACATTGCGAAGTCCAGGCTTATCTTGGTCCCTCTTTCATCTCAATTGTGGACACTGACCTCCCCGCGGTGTCACCTGGGGTAGCTATTTTTCATCACCCGTTGAAATAGTGAGCTAATATGTGCCGCGAGTTCACCCATAAGAACTATAAAAAATGGGTTGAGGCGTCAGGTTAGTTGCCCACACTCGGAAACCCCCTTCTACTATGAAAAAGCAAATAAAAAGAAAATCAAACCCACCAAACGTATAAAGAACCACGATCTGCGAATCTGCACTTGGAATGTGCGCGCCTTGTACAGAACAGGCGCAGTTTTCGCTTTGGATGATGTACTCAAGAAGTACAAAGCCGATATTATTGCCTTACAGGAAATGCGATGGAAAAGGACTGGCGTAAGTAAATCCGATGATTACGCCCTGTATTATAGCTGCCATGAAGAGAGACTTGAATTTGGCTGCGGATTTATGGTTAAGAGAAGAATAAAAGACCTCGTCTCCAGATTCGCTACAGTAGTTAAGTGAATTGTTATAATCCGTATAAAAGCGAAGTTCTTCTACATCAGTCTTATTTGCGCCCATGCTCCGACCGAAGACAATGATGAACAGACAAAAGACATATTTTATGAGCGCCTAGGAACAGCATATGATCGCTGCCCTGGCCATGACATTAAAATTCTGCTAAGAGATTTTAATGCAAAAATCGTAAGGGAATATATCATTGGTCCCATCGTCGGAAAATTTAGCCTCCATGAAGATACATCCGACAACGGCATGAGGTTGATTGACTTCGCGGCAGCAAAAACATGGTAGTTAGCAGCACCAGATTCAAGCATCTCGATATACACAAGCCCACCTGGATTTCTCCTGAACAAGCAACGAGAAATCAAATTGATCATGTTGTGGTAGACGGAAGGCATTCGTCCAGTGTATTAGACGTGCGATCGATCCAAGGAGCGAATATCGATTCGGACCACTACCTTGTGGCAACCAAGGTACGCACCAGTCTTAATGTAGCAGCAATGGTGCGATCTTACACTACACGGAAACTCGACGTCGAAAAGCTGCAAATACAACAGATAGCCGAGCCCTACTCCGCTCAACTTACCCAACTGGTTGACGAAAGCACCCTTTGTCCCGATAATAGTATAGAAGCACAATGTTCCGTACAAACTGCAGCAAAAGCTACACTTGGGTACCAAAAACCACCACCTAGAAACCCATGGTACCATCAGGAGTGTTGTAATGCTACTGATGTGAAAAACGCAGCCTATAGGGCAACCCTACAGACAGTAGCAACACGTAAAGTGATGGAGAACTATCGGGAGAAATGTAGGGGGGAGAAACGTGTTTTCAGAAAAAATAAGAAAGAACAAGAAAACGTGAGAGTGAGCAAATCGAGATGTACAGGAGTCAGAATGAAGTCCGGAAATTTTACCAACGAGTAAAACACCAAACCAAAGTCATTGGTGCAGGCACATCCTCCTGTAGAGATGAAGAAGGAAACCTGGTGACAGATACAGACAGCGTGTTGAGGATCTGGATGGAGCATTTTGAAGAACTTCTGGTATCAAATAGTAGCGGTGAAGAGGATACCCCAGAACCAATTATAGATGACGGTATAGAGTGTATACCACCTAGCCAAGATGAGGTCATAAAAGCAATCAATCGGCTGAAGAACAATAAAGCAGCAGGTGCCGATGGGTTACCAGCCGAACCATTCAAGACTGGTGGTCAGATGCTGGTAAGGAGCATGCACCAGCTGATTAGTACAATTTGGCTAGAAGAATGCATGCCCAATGATTGGAACCTCAGCATCCTGTGTCCCGTGCACAAAAAAGGAGACAGCTATAGAGGAAATAGCCTTATTCCCATCGCGTATAAAGTGATCAATGACATTATTGGACCATATCAATGCGGCTTCAGACCTGGCAAATCCACCATTGACCAGATTTTCACTCGGCGCCAAATCCTGAAAAAAACCCACGAAAAATACATCGACACATACCACCTATTCGTCGACTATAAAGCCGCATTCGACAGCCCTATCCGTTCAGAGGTGTTTAAAGCTTTGTCTACGTTCGACATTCCTGCAAAATTAATTCGGCTATACAGGATAACTTTAAGTGGCATAAGGTCAGCAGTTAAAGTCGGAAAGGACCTATCGGAGCCCTTCAGTACCGAACGAGTATTCAGACAAGGTGTGAGTTTGTCGTGTGATCTTTTTAGTATCCTGCTGGAAAAGGCCATACGAGACGCAAAGGTGAACAGAAATGGTACTCTGTACACAAAACAACATCAGTTACTCGCCTACGCCGATGACATCGTTATAATGGGTCGAATATTGCGTGCGGTAACAGCCACCTTGGAATAAATTGAGAAGGAGTTGAGTGGGTCTGATAGTAAACGGCGAGAAGACCAAGCTGATGGTATCAACGCACAAGACGTTCATTAGACTCGCACCAACTGTGTGGAACTTGAGAACTACAGCTTCGAGGTAGTTAAAGATTGTATATATCTTGTTACCGCCATAAATAAAACGAATGACATCAGTTTTGAAATTCGGAGAAGAATTGTGATGGCCAACAGATGTTACTATGGTCTATGTAAGCAGTTTCGAAACAAGGCTACCTCCCGCCAGACCAAACTCACACTTTACAAGGCGCTGATACTACCCGTACTGTTATGTGGATCTGAAGCATGGGTACTTGCGCAAGCAGATGAGGCAGCTCTTGGGTTGTTTGAAAGAAAAATACTCCGAAAGATTTACGGGCCGATCTGCGTCGACGGTGAATATCGACGTCGAATGAACCACAACATTTACAATTTATTCGCGGACAGCAACATAGTCAGTCGTATTGAGCTGCAGTGACTACGATGGCTAGGCCATGTTGTGCGAATGAATGAGAATGCCTCAGCTCAAAAGGCATATACAAGCGAGCCTACTGATGGTTCCCGTAGAAAGGGAAGGCAACGAATCAGGTGGAAAGACCAAGTAGAAAATCGGCGTCGAATGAACCATGAGCTTTACAATTTCTTCGCGGACATCGTTATAGTCAGTCGTATTGAGCTGCATCGACTACGATGGCTAGGCCATGTTGTGCGAATGCCCCAGCCCAAAAGGCATATAAAAGCGAACCAGGTGATGGTTCCCGTAGAAGGGGAACGCCACGAATCAGATGGATAGGCCTTGGATAGGCCTCAATAAAAATTATTTAAAAAATCTACGCCATGGATAGGCCTCAATAAAAATTATTTAAAAAATCTACGCCATGGATAGGCCTCAATAAAAATTATTTAAAAAATCTACGCCATGGATAGGCCTCAATAAAAATTATTTAAAAAATCTACGCCATGGATAGGCCTCAATAAAAATTATTTAAAAAATCTACGCCATGGATAGGCCTCAATAAAAATTATTTAAAAAATCTACGCCTTGGATAGGCCTCAATAAAAATTATTTAAAAAATCTACGCCTTGGATAGGCCTCAATAAAAATTATTTAAAAAATCTACGCCTTGGATAGGCCTCAATAAAAATTATTTAAAAAATCTACGCCTTGGATAGGCCTCAATAAAAATTATTTAAAAAATCTACGCCTTGGATAGGCCTCAATAAAAATTATTTAAAAAATCTACGCCTTGGATAGGCCTCAATAAAAATTATTTAAAAAATCTACGCCTTGGCTAGGCCTCAATAAAAATTATTTAAAAAATCTACGCCTTGGATAGGCCTCAATAAAAATTATTTAAAAAATCTACGCCTTGGATAGGCCTCAATAAAAATTATTTAAAAAATCTACGCCTTGGATAGGCCTCAATAAAAATTATTTAAAAAATCTACGCCTTGGATAGGCCTCAATAAAAATTATTTAAAAAATCTACGCCTTGGCTAGGCCTCAATAAAAATTATTTAAAAAATCTACGCCTTGGCTAGGCCTCAATAAAAATTATTTAAAAAATCTACGCCTTGGATAGGCCTCAATAAAAATTATT